AACTTTTTTTTTTTAATATTTTATTTCTTTATTTGACAGAACACAAGTAGGCGGAGCACGGGAGGGAGAAGCAGGCTCCCCGCCGAGCAGAGAGCCCATGTGGCGACCCTGGGATCATGACCTGAGTCAAAGGCAGACACTGACCCGACTGAGCCACCCAGGCGCCCCCAGTTTGGAACTCTTGATACCTACTGCTATGTGGTTTTACAGGAGTGTTAACGCTGGTTTACGCTCCGTATCCATTTAAGGTGCCTTTTCCCCAAATGCTCAGAAAACCGTAATCTCAACTGCCTTGAATAAGGAAGAACTGCATTGGCCTACAGAGCTGGGGGGAGGGAGGTGTAGGGTATGCAGCTGCAGGTGTGCCTGGACCCGGGGGGCTCAACCCAAGTCTCTATGACTTGGTTCTCTGCTTCCCCATCACAAAGGGCTTGTTGACAACCAAGGGCCACCGTGGGTGGTGTGTGTCTGGGAGGTGGCTCTAGTTGGGGGGGGGGTAGAGTCTTTGAGACTTTTCTCAACACCGAGAGGCTCTCGCAGGAACCTGCTGCTTCGGTTCGGTTTGATCTACTTTTGCGGACATGAGGTTGTTTTCCTGTGAAATGTTTTTAGTTGGAGGACGTGGATCTAGAGCCCCTAAGGGCTTGTCTGTTGGTCCACGTCTCCGTTTCTGTGCTTGCCCACTTGTCTCTTCGTTCATCCAGGTCACGTGGTGGAGCGAACCTTGGGTTGGGAGTACGGGGGGGGGGGGAGTGGGTCCCCCTATCTCAGTGTACCCTAAGGCCAGTGACCAAAGCGTGGCTGGGATGGGGAGCACCTGGGGGAACAGTCTCTCCTCCTGGGGCCCCTCCTCCAAAGCTTTGACTTTTTCAGTGGATTCTAAAAGGCAACATCATGATAAAAAGGCATTAGAGGAAGTAGCGTGGAAACAGGGCTTAGAGCCTCCCGGGGCGGATAATCAAGGACCGTCTTTTTTCCTAACCTGGTTTCCGACTCCACTCGCCACGACCTGGGCCCTTGACTTCGTGTCTGCTTTCTGAGTATCCCCTGCTTTTCTGACTTCAAGGGGACTAATTCCAGGTCCTCACTCTCAGAGGTGGGGGTGGGGGTTGGGAGGGCCAATGAACCCCCGAGGGGCAGTGCTTAGGGATCTGGTCCTCCTGCCCTGCTCTGGGGATGCTGCAAACTGTTATTGCAGCCGGAAAGGGCACAGAAGAACCCACCAGGCTCTGGCGGATTTTCCCCACCCTCCTCCCCCCTTCTCTGCTGCTTTTACGTTCTGCTGCACTTGCTTCAGCCGTGCCCTGCCCTCCCTGGCTTCCAGACCTTCCACGTGTGTGCACTTCCCCTCGCCAGTCGCTGGTGGTGGGGAGGCTTGTGTGTTCGCTTCCCCTGGGCGGCGGGCGCCTGGCGAGGGAACTGCAGCCCCGCAAACAGGTGTGGGGGGGGCGTGGTCACTGTGAGCACAGGTCGCAGTGGGAGCGGGGAGGAGGGTGGCCCACGTCCTCCCGTCCCTCTGGCCTCATCCTGACCTCCTGTGCTCTGGGCATGCCCTGGGTTAGCGCGTCTTGCTCCGCAGCGTGGGGGTGTCGGTGCAGCTGCTCCCAGCTGTTGCAGTGGTTTTCAGAAGGGAGTGGAATGGGAGAGTGGAGATGTCAAGCTCCAGCTCTCCTTAATTCTTAGAAATGGTGATGAATCTGAATTGCTCCCTTGGTGTTGCTGCAATTTTCTGGGGATTATATGTGCACACGTGCGGCTCTGGGTGCTCATGTGGGATGTGAATGGGTGGTGATTTGTTTACAGGGTAGGACCAGGGAACTCGGAAGAGCAGCTACTAAAATTTACCCTGGATTTTTTTTTTTTTTTGCAGAAGGGGGCTGGGGTAGGGAGATAACTGGGCTCCGTGCACAGCCGAGCAGTCATGAGGCTGAGTGACACGAAGGCCTTGAAGGGTTTTTGTAAAACCTTATGGAACATAAACCTATTGCCAGAAATCCTAGTGCTCATCAGCTGGTCCTGGAGATGAAACAGAACTGCTGCCTGGCTTCTTAAAGGATGAGAATGTGAACCACCAACCCGCCCCCGCCCCCCCGCAACTCCCCCAAACAGGAGGATGGTTCTTGGTGATTATTTATACGTTTACTGAGCAAACATCTGTTGATAATCGTGCTGGGCTTGCTCGTGCCTGCACACACATGACCTTGTTTCTTCTCGCAATTCTAGGATGGGTTTGAGTTCTATTCCGGGGATTTTTAAGAAGTAGCTTTGCATTTGTTTGAGAAGGTGTGGACGTTTATCTAACGGGGAGCGGTGTTGACTTGTGCCATTGGATTGCAGGGCAAAGCATTAAAAGCAAGCTTGGCTCTTTCTCTACCTGCCATGCCCTTTTTTTTTTTTTTTTTTTCTGTTTTGGCAGAGACTAACCATTGAAGTGAATGGGGACCAGAGAAAGAAAGCAAAAGTTGTTAAACCAGATGCTTCTTGGAAATGGGACTCAAAGTTCCAGGGTTTTCCTTGCGCCTCTGTAAACACGATGCTGATCCTGCCACGCTCATGCCTTCCATTTGTGTGTTCCCATCCAGAGCAACGCAACAGCTTCTCCAGGGAGTATTCTGGTATCATCGCTGTTGGATCTTTTTATTAAGGAGGACCGCGGGGCTGTGCGGAAGGCGTGATGGGCACAGAATGGCAGGTTTGGGAGTTGCAGCTGCCTGGCTGTAGGTCAGCCGTGTTAATAATTGCTAGCTCTGCTGTGTGAACCATCCTGCAAAATTCTGAACTCTGTGGATGACCTTGTTCTATGAGCAAGTGGTGCTCTGGGGACCGATTGGTGGCTCTTTAGTTTTCTTTTTCAGAGTTTTCCCCCAAAGCTCAGAGGAGACAATTTTATTTTTTAAAGGTTTGTCTCTCCCACACTTTAAGAGGAGTGTTTCTTATGCATTTGACCAGTACTCGCTTCCCAAACATGCTAACCGGGAGCCTACATATGCCAGGGATTCTGGTTCTTTTTTTTTTTTTTTAATTTTTTATTTATTTATGATAGTCACAGAGAGAGAGAGAGAGAGAGAGAGAGAGAGAGAGAGAGAGAGAGGCAGAGACACAGGCAGAGGGAGAAGCAGGCTCCATGTACCGGGAGCCCGACGTGGGACTCGATCCCGGGTCTCCAGGATCACGCCCTGAGCCAAAGGCAGGCGCCAAACCGCTACGCCACCCAGGGATCCTGGGATTCTGGTTCTTTATCCATTGGGTCACTTCATCTCAGCTGAGCCAGCTGTTTGGATGGCTCAAGTGAGGACCACTTTCTCAGCAATCTGGGGATCCTCTCTTTACCTTTTGAAAGGGAAAACCGTGGCACGCAGCCTTCCAGGGATGGTGAACATAAGTAACTGGAAAACTCAGAGAAACTGAGCCGGAGGTGGGGAAGGAAAATGGAGGGGGCAAAAGAAAAAGCCATGTTGAGCCAAGTCTTTGGATTTAGAATAAAAGGATCTTTATTAATTCAGGGAGCTCTGGAAAGGCAGGTGGACTGAGGCATGTTAAACCTATTTCTATAAAATTCTTTTTCTTAGTTTGCTGAGTTCCTATTTGTTTTTTTTTAATTCCCTCTGTGGGAACTTGTTTTATTTTACTTTATTTTATTTATGAGCAATAGAGAGGGGGAGACAAGACACAGGCAGAGGGAGAAGCAGGCTCCATGCAGGGAGCCCCACGTGGGACTCGATCCTGGGTCTCCGGGATCACACCCTGAGCTGCAGGCAGCGCTAAACAGCTGTGCCACCGGGGCTGCCCCTGAGTTCCTATTTGATAGGAGATTTGACCCTGGTGGGTAGATGAGGTTTGTAGGAGGATGGTGTTTTAATCTGCTTGGGCTGCAGACCAATTCACCACAACAGAAAACCCCAAACAACAGAAATGTATTTTCTTACAGTTCTGGAGGCTGGAGATCCAGCTACGTACCGCCAAGGGTTGGTTTCTGGTGAGGCCTCTTCTCCTGGCTTGTGGACAGCCGCCTCCTCGCTCTGTCCTCACCTGCTCTTTTCTCTGTGTGTCCTTAGTGTCTCATCCTCTTCTTCTAAGGACGCCAATCCTGTTGGACTGAACTCCACCCTTATAACCTCGCTTAACTTGAATCACCTCCCTGAAGGTCCTGTCTCCAAATATAACTTTGTAGGTTAGGGCTTCGATGTATGAATTTTGGGGGTGGGGGGACCCAGTTCAGTCCCTAACAGATAGAAAGACCTTATAATTTCAGAGTCAGCCAACTGCTCTCCTCACCTGTTTTTATAAAGTTTACTGGCCCACTCATGTATGGGTTGTCCGCGGCTGCTTTTGCACTCTAGGGGCAGAGCCGAGTGCTTATGATAGTCTGTCCTGCAAAATCCTAAGATATTTGCTCTCTGGCCTTGTACAGAAAAAGTTGGCCAACCCCTGAGTTGGCTGAGCCTTGTTCTAATTAAGGGGAGGGATTATCAGGTTTTGTGTCTGGGATTTCTTTTTATTGACATACAGGTAGGCACTGTTTGTTGTTTACAAAGGAACTAGGATAGGAAAGGGGAGTGGAAATTGCCCCATGGCTCACAGGTCATGCCAAGTGGCTGGTCCACATCAGGGTGGCTGTAAAAGGTAGGGGTGGTTGGAAGACACTGCTGTGTGACCCTGGGAAATCCACTTTACATCTCTGCGTGAGCCTTGATTTCTTCTCTGTAAGATGGAACATGAGGCGACCTGTCGCCCAACCTGCATGCCTGGATCCAGTGCAACAAAGCCAGGAGAGCATCTTCTAAATGGTAGGAGGACTGTATAAATAGAAAGGATTTAACCAGGACCTATTCAAGCTGTTGCAGCTGCTGTAGATACGTGCCTTGTAAAACTCCCCTATTATTTAGACACTGAGAAATATTTGGATGGTGGTAATGTGCTGCTCTGGGAAAAGCAGTCTCCAGTAGGATTTTTATCACATAATTAGAGGCTGTGTTAAATGTGCTGGTGAAAAAGGAGCTGCTGTGTGCTGCTGCCCGTGTTAACGTGGAGCAGGGATCTGCATCTCTTCCCTGAGGAAGCGTTCCTGCTTCGTTTCCCTTTTGGGGTGCTGGCTCTGGCCAGCAGAAACTCGGGGAGGCCCCAGACATGGTGCCAGCGCCACACCGGCCTGGGGGACCCTTGTTGAACCACCGGACATACACTGGACATCTCTGCTTTGCAGAGCGAGGTGCTGGTCAGCCAGCTGGTGTGTACAAGCCCTGACGCCGGGCGGGGGTGGGTGGGGGGCAGCCGGAAAGTCAGGGGACAGTCAGGTAGGGAAGATCCCAGGTTAGGGGAGGGGACCAGCAGAGCTGTTCAAGGCCTTTCTTGGCCGCCTTCTCTGCTGATCTCTCTGTTCCTTCCCTCACTCGGTTTCCTCCTCCTAGGAACGGCAATCCTGTGTGCTTTGCGGGGTTGTGGTGAGGACTGAATGGGAGCCTGCAGACCACGTTAAGCAGAGGACTTGGCACGGAGCAAACGCTCATTAAATGGTAGTTCTTGTTTTTATCGCCATTTCCTAATTATTTCGTATTCATCAAGTCCACATCCTGTTCCAGGAGCTGTGGAATAGAGATAAAGACACGTAGGTTTGGGAGGCCTGGGTGGCGCAGCGGTTGAGCATCTGCTCTGGGCTCAGGGCGTGATCCTGGGGACCCGGGATTGAGTCCTGCATCTGGTTCCCTGCATGGAGCCTGCTTCTCCCTCTGCCTGTGTCTCTGCCTCTCTCTCTTTCTCTCTCTCTCTCTCTCTCTCTCTGTCTCTGTCTGTGTCTCTCATGAATAAATAAATAAAATCTTAAAAAAAAAAAAGACACGTAGGTTCTCGGCCTTGTAGTTGACTGCATTGTGGGAGAACCAGAGGTCAGTGTGCTTCATGTGTGTCCCTTAGGCACGCACTTCTCAGGGCGAGGCTACTGCTGCCCCTTATTCACCTGCCACGGCGCCCTGGGCCTGCCCGTCCCGACCCCCCTGCCCTCCACGACCAACCTGGGGACCCGTCTTCTTCCCGATGGATGTCGGCCTACAGTTGTCCTACATTTTCCAGAATCCTGAAGCACTTACACACCCAATTTAACTTTGGCTTGCACCACACCTTGTAGTTTACAGTTGTTTTGTGTCTCGCCGTGAGAGAAGAGACTTGTCTTCTTCCTCTTCAGTTCCTGCGTGCTATAACCTAACACGTGCACATGGTCAGCAAATACGGAATTGGAAGGATTCTGTTGAGCATCTACTTCAGGGTTTCTTTCTTTCTTTCTTTCTTTCTTTCTTTCTTTCTTTCTTTCTTTCTTTCTTTCTTTCTTTCTTTCATTTTAATTTTTATTTATTTTTATTTTTTTATTCTTTATTTTTTTTTTATTTTTTACTTCAGGGTTTCTTAACATCAGTGCTGCTGTCGTTTCCTACCAGATAATTCTTTTGTGTGGGGGCTGTCTTGTGCACAGATGTTTGGCGGCATCCTTTTTTTTTTTTTTTTTAAATTTTATTTTTTTTATTTATGATAGGCACACAGTGAGAGAGAGAGAGGCAGAGACATAGGCAGAGGGAGAAGCAGGCTCCATGCACCGGGAGCCCGACGTGGGATTCGATCCCGGGTCTCCAGGATCGTGCCCTGGGCCAAAGGCAGGCGCTAAACCGCTGCGCCACCCAGGGATCCCTGTTTGGCGGCATCCTTGACCTCTGTCCTCCGTGTACCAGTAGCACGCTCCAGTTGTGACAACTGAAAATGTGTCCAGATGCTGCAAAATGTCCCCTGAAGGGCAGCATCACTCCTTGTTGAGAATCACTGATTTGCCACGTTCTGGGCATGGCATGTCCCTTGTCCCTCGGTCAGGTTATAAATACCTTCGGGGAGGATTTCCATTATCTCTACGATGCCTGGATACCGACGATAGAGTAAATGTCTAATAAATGTGTTTACTCGAGCCACTCAGCTCATTTTCCTGGTTGTACCACCTTCAGCTGAGGCTGGGGAAGAAGGAAACTCTGAGGCCATTATTCATCATTGTCAGTTAGCATGTTTTAAATAAATACTCAGAATTCCTGGATTTCATTGTGTTTTCCTCGCCGACTCGGGGGTCTGGAGTGCCTTAACTTCAGAATGCCAGCTCTGCGAGGGGCTGAACAAATCCCATGTCCTGGTTCTGATTTACTATGAAAAAACACTGATCAGGTGAGTAGGCTATGGGTGCATTTTTTTTTTCTCCTCTGGGGTCTCACTTTTGGCCTTACAAACTCCATGAGTACAAGATGGTCCTCACTTTGCTTAGAAGGGTTTCCAGTAGGATTTGCTGTGTCCCTCCAAGTGTGGACATGAATATGGGGCCTAAGTGTGTCCCAGGGCCTCAGTTTTACCCCCGGGGTTGTTCCAGGATAACCAGTGGCCGAAGGTCTAACTAAGCCTGTAAGTTGGGAGCAGTGCTGAGCCAAGTGTGTGTGTGGAGAGAGAGTAGGGCAGTCGTGAGGACGGCTCACAGTTCTGTTGGGAAAACAAGGAGTATATCCTAGAACTCAGTGCAAGGAGACCTGGGAGTGAGGGAGCTCACATCTAACCTGGCTGTGAGGACTGGACCAGGCAGCTTCTCCTCTCTGGGTTTAGGGTCGCCCTTCAAGGGACAAGAAGTTGTTAAATGACCTTTGCCATCCCTTCCGCCTCTGACCATCGTGTGAGCTAAACTTGATCCTGAGGCCCACTTCTTCTTTTGTGCTCACGGAAGAGAAACCGATGAGAGGGCTGGGCCAGGGTCTTGCTAGCCATCTTCAGCTTCTGGGAAGACTGTCATGAAGCTAAGAGCAGAACTGGTGTGGTAGGAAGGCACATTTGGCTCAGGAGAATTTCCTCACTGTCAGAGTTGCTGGAATGTGAAGGGCGCTCATCCCGGGTGCTATTCTTGCCCAGGCCGATCCTGGTGTTTGAGAGATCAAGGTATCAAATCCATAACTAGATGGGGTGACTCGAAGTCCTTTCTGACCCTGTGCTTTAGAAAAAAATTATATATAGTTGATTTTCCTTGTATCTTGAGATCCTTGGGAAGGGGAAGAAAGAGAAAGGTGGGCGCAGCTGCCGGCCGGACTGATTTCTTGCTGGGGGACAGGTATTCAAATGACGGCTCTGATGAGCAGAGAACCTTGCTGTCATTACATGTCTTAAAAAACTTTTGGGTGGGAAGTGGGCTGACGTGTTGGGGCGCAGAGAGGTATGGGTGTAAATCTGAGGTTTTACTGGCTCTGAGGCCTGGGCTTGTCCTTCTTGGGCCAGTGACTGGCCCCACAGCTGTCCTGCCTGCTGAGCAGTAAGCAGAAGCCACATTGTCTCCCCTGCAGACTCTGTCTGTCTGTCTGTCTGCACAGCTCTGAATCAGCTGTCGAGGGGGTTGGCTGTGACTGAGAACCAAAATTAATCCACCTTCTCTGGAAATTTTTGTTTGGGGCCTGTGACTGTCACATCACTGAGCTCTCAGGCCTGCGTCTCTCTCTCTCTCTGATGTCCTTGCTTTCCAGGAGAGCGTTTTTGTCGGGCTCCAGAGAGCACCTGTTCCACTCTGTAATTGGATGTATTCATGCCACTGTAATCACCTCCAGGTAGGCGCCTGCTGAGGCCCCAGCTGGGGCTCCTCTCGGTGCCCCGTCCTGGCCTTCCTAACTGTGCTTCCTGACCTGTGGATGGGAGGCCAGTGTTCTCTGGGATGGTAGGAAAACAGTGATGTACCCACATTGTTCTGTGACGTTGCCTTCTGCTTCCCATGGACTGCTTTTACTTCTTCTTTTTTTTTTTTTCCTAAGATTTTATTTAGGGTGCGTGGGTGATGCATCTGCCTTCAGCTCAGGTCATGAGTCCAGGGTCCTGGGATTGAGTCCTGCATAGGGTTTCCTGCTCAGTGGGGAGCCTGTTTCCCCATCTGTCCCTCCCCCCTGTGCTGGTGCTCTTTCTCTCTCTCTCTCAAATGAATTTTATTTATTTATATTTTTTTAAGATTTTTTTAAAGATTTTATTTATTCATGAGAGAGAGAGAGAGAGACAGGCAGAGGGAGAAGCAGGCTCCATGCAGGGAGCCTGACGTGGGACTCGATCCTGGGTCTCCAAGATCACGCCCTGGGCTGAAGGCAGCGCTAAACCGCTGAGCCACCCGGGCTGCCCTCAAATGAATTTTAAAAACCTTAAGTATTTATTTGAGAGAGCAGACAGAGAAAGCGGGGTAGTTTGGGGGGGGGGTTGGACAGAGGTACCCACGGCAGCCTGGTGTGAGGACAGGCTTCAGGGGCACCGGGATGAGCTGGGCCCGAAGTGGCTGCGCTGTCCCCAAGCCTGGGAAGGCCCGGGTGTCCTGCCGCTTGCGGGGAGCCGGTGGCTCCGCTGCTGTGCCCTGTTTTCCCGCCTCCCCTCGTGCCGAGCAGACCTCGATGCAGAGGTGAGGAGTCCCAGCCGGTCCCCGTGGGCTGGAAAGTGAGGGCGACCGGCATGTGCGGTTGGGGAGAGCCGGCAGGCCGCTCGGGTCTTCCCGTGGGGGTCTGCGGAGGCCTCTCGGCGTGGTTGCGGCCGGTGGCCTTGTCCCCGTGCCCACGTGGCCTTTCCTCCACTCGTGCTCAAGGGGGAGCCCCCCCACTTCTCCTGTCCAGCCGCCTGTCCTGTCAGATCAGGACCCTTCCCTTAGGGCTTCAGCTGAGCATAATTTCCCCCTAAAAGGTCCTTTCCCCCTAAAAGGTCCATTTCCAAATAGAGTCGTGTTGGCCGGTTGGGCCGTCAGTGTGGGACGCGGGGACAGTCCCTTTCACAGCACTTAACCGCTGGTGACTCCTCCCACTGCAGAAAACCAGGGGACAGCGAGCGCTCAGGCATGAGCCGGGTGGCGGTGGGGCAGCAGGTGCGGTGGCCTGTCCCCTCGCTCCAGGACTCCTGCCTCTTTTGTCCCTCAGGTCGTTTCCGAGGGAGCTGCTTCCCGGGGACACTGTGCAGTGGGGGGGGTCTTTGCCCGTTTTGTTGAGTCCCCCCCCCGTCCCCCCACCTTGCTCTCTTGGGGGCTCTTCTCTCTTCACATTTGACGGGACAGGGGTGGGGGGGTAGCTCATGTAGGAAGGTGGCCTGTGACATTTGGAGGACTGGGGGCCGCGGGTGTCAGCAGGTGCTCTGTGGGGCCCACCCCTCGTAGGTAGACGTCGCACAGAGTGGGAGCCAGGCGGCCTGCCCTGCCCTCGCGGAGCCGAGTTGGGCCCTGCCTTCCTCCTGCCGGGACCTCTGAGTGCGACTGGGGCTCGGGCAGGCGGTGGGCACGCTCTGGGTGCCCTGCCGCCCCAGCCTGGCAGTAGGGGTACCTCTAGTGGTTGGCTGGTGGAGGAGGAAGGAAAGGGCGTCTGGTGCGGAGGGTTGTAGGGGGAGCCCAAGCAGGTGTGCAAAAGCTGGAGGACGATGGTGAAACCGTGCCCTTCCCTGAAGCAGGACCAGGTCAGGATCCACCTGTGCAGAAAGGCCGAGGAGAGGTGGGTGGCATGGAGAGTAGTGTACGGGATGACTGTCCCATTGGATGGCCCTCTGCCCTTGGCTGCCCCTGAAACTTTGCTGCTTCCTTAAAAGCTGCTTTTTTTTGAAAAAAAAAAATGAAAATTTTAAGTAAAAGTTGTATCCGTTAAAGGTTTATAACAGGGATATACACAGTGAAGTGATGACTAGAGTTGAGCTCATTAATACGTCCTCTCCTCACATCGTTACCTTTTTTTTTTTTTTTGGTGTGATGAGAGCACTTGAAATCTATTTTCAGCCAATTTCCAGAATTCCGTACAGAATGGACTCTAGTTCTCATTCTTTGTGTTAGAGCGGTACTTGGGCCAGAGCATGTAACTGCAGCTCTGTCCTTCTGACCCAGCGTCTCCCCATTGCCCCCATCTCTCTGCCCCCCCATAACCATACCACTGTCTGCTTCTGTGTATTAGGCTATTTAAGATTCTACATGGAAATAAGATTATGGAGGGTTTTTTGGTCTGGTTTATTTCCCTTAGCTTAATGTCCTGTTGTTGCAAGTAGTAGAGTCCCGTTTCTTGAAGCCGAGTGATGGTTCATGGTGTATACGCATACACACCACTTTCTTGGTGACACTTAGGCCATTTCTATATATCGCGTATCGTGAATACTGCAGTGAAGATGGGAGCACAGCTGTCTCTGGGAGGTACTTATTTCATGTCCTCCGGGTATACAGCCAGAAGTGGAATAGCTGGACCATATGGTGGTTCCAGTTGCAATTTTTTGAGGAGCCTCCATACTGTTTTCCAGAGTGGCTGCCCCAATTTATATTCCCACCAACAGTGTATGGGGGTTCCCCTTTCTCCACATCCTCGCCGGCACTTCTGTTTTGTTGATTTTAGTTACCCGAGCAGGTATGAAATGAGGTCTTCTTATGGTTTTGAATTTTATGTTTTATTTTTTATTTTTTTAAAAGATTTTATTTATTCATCACACACACACATACACACACACACACACAGAGAGAGAGGCAGAGACACAGGCAGAGGCAGAAGCAGGCCCCATGCAGGGAGCCCAATGTGGGAGTCGATCCTGGGTCTCCAGAATCATGCCCTGAGCCAAAGGCAGATGCTAAACCACTGAGCCACCCAGGCTGCCCCTTATTTTTAATTTTTTAAGAACATGGGTGGGGAGAGAGAATCTTAAGCAAGCTCCAGCTCTTCAGCAGGAGCCTGATGCAGGGCTCGATCTCATGACCCTGAGATCATAACCTGAGCCGAAGTCTAGAAGAGTCCGATGTTTGACTGAGCCACCCAGGCGCCCCTTGAATTTTATTTGATGACTAGTGATGCTGAGTACCTTTTCCTGTACCCATTAGCCATTTGTGTGTCGTCTTTGGAGAACTGTCTATTCAGGCCCTTGCCCATTTTTTAATCGGGTTGGGTTTTTTGTTTGTTTTCTGTTGAGTTGTAGGGAATTCCTCAGACATTTTATACATTAACTCCTTATCACATATGTGGTTTGCAAATATTTTCTCCCAACTGTAGGTTGCCTTTCCCTTTGTTGATGGTTTCCTCTGCTGTGTTGATGCTTTTA